TAAACTAATTTAATAAATCAATATTAAGAAACTAATTAACAAAGAAAAATAAAATAAAAATTAAGTTTTACAAAATGTTAAATTTTAAAACATCATCTAAAAAGAAATTGACTTGATATCTCACTAACTACTTAAAAAAAATCAATATTAAAATATTTACTAACAAAAAAAATGAAGTTATGTCTTCAAAAATATCAATATTTTCAAAATAATTATGTGTTAAAATAAAATAGAAATCAATAACAAGAGAGGTAAATTATCAAAGGAAAATTTTGTATAAAGAAAGCCTAGCTTGATATTTAGATTAATATTTTGGAAAATCAACATAAAAGAATTAACTAAAAAAAAAGCAAACGATGGCATAGACTTTTGAAAGAAGTCCATATAAATTTAGAATACCCAGTTGTTCGGGAGCAAATTTCTGGATACCACGTGGGGGGTGTGTGATTCGTCGGGGGGTTGAGCTGTGTCTCTCAGTTTCGTCCTCTGGGGAAAGGCGACGAGTCATTTCGGGGTGGAAGCTTCTGGTCCCGGGGCGATGGGATGAATGCTGCACTTCATCCTATAAACAAATAAAGGTCAGATGAGCCTCCGGGAGGACCAAAAGAGGGCTTCCCTCCCGAAGGTTCTCTGACGCCCAAGTCAATGAACATCCTACCGAGAACAAGTACTCGGGAGGGGAATTTTCTACGGGTTAGTGTGAGAAGTCTCGTCCGGGGATCGAGGTTTCTGTCTGCTTTCAGGTATTTCTAAGGGGTTCCAATACAGCAAAAGGAAAGCGAGACGAGTATGAAGGTAGGGTTCCAGGTTAGGAGTAACTTAACCTGGTCAGCATTCACCCGGGACGAACATGGAGTTCACCCGTGATCGTGCTGCTTGCCTGGATCGACTGACTTAGATATGCGCAGACACCACCTCTTTTAGAGGGTTTTTTTCCTTCTCATCCGTCGATCCCCTTTTTTTTTCTTCTTTGTGGCGATCTCTCCTTACTTATACTCGCGGGCTCTTCGTCTTGTCCCTTCCATGCGGCGCGCCAGGGGAGCAGGTGAGCATAATGATTCTAGCGTGTATAGGGAAGTCTGCCAACTGCCCCTGAACAGTATGCGGGAGTGGGTCGGCCGAGCTAGCGTGGCGTGTGTCAGCGTCTAGTGCAGTCTAGGTCCACGTGTCGGTGTCTCTTTCGACCCGGTAAAATAGGTCTCAACCAGTTATAGTATGTCAAAACAGCAATTATAATGAAAATAAAAGTTAATGTGAAAAATAAATTTAACAATAAAAAAATATTTATGTAAAAGAGATTAAATTGATATATACTACCTATTTGAAAAATTAATAACAAAGAGATTAATTAAAAAATATATATGTTTTAAATATAACAAACATGCACATAATTAGATAAATTAAAATAAAATATAAAATTACCATCGAAAGATATGTAAAATAACAAAAAAAAAATCTAAGAAGAAAATTAGTTTGAAATTTAGTTCTAGAAAATTCATGATTTCTAAAATATTGATATTGACTATGAATAACCATATAAAGTTACAGTAGGTTATACAAGTTTCTAAATCAAACATATAATTTAAATTTATAATGACTAATATATTGGCTGTGTCTGATTTTTAAACTAATAAAAAATACTACACAAGTAATTTTACATTCGAAATCTAACAACTAGTTTATACATAGTTACTACTTATAACTTAGCCAACATGAACATCACATGAGTAACATCTTCTATAATTTCCTTTAAATAGTAAAGTATGACAAAGTTATGATTCGAATTCAAATTGAAATATATCTAGATAAACTATTCAAATCTAAACATGAATAAACCACACAAAAGATAAAAACAGTGATAATATGAAGACTCAACACTATCTTACATGTTTAAAAACAAAAACTATTAAATAGTAGACTGCAAATAAAACAGATCTTATATGATTAATAGAGATATAACTTAAAATTCATAGAAGATCTGTTAGAGAAGCATGAAGCAGTTTACATGATTAATATAGCATCCTAACAAAAGTAAATCCGAAGCAACATGAATATATTATATATACATAGGTACACAACATCATTGAGATATTTAATCAAAAACTAAATATTTGAACATATAAATCTTAAAAAGAAGAACTATAGAAATCCTAAGGGCACAAAACAAAACACCAAAAAATTAGTAAGGAAATTATTCTCTAAATCAAATGTATCCACGTCGAAGTTGGATAATTCGTTAGATGTTACTACTATGATTTTACTTAATAAGATTTATAATTTTATAGTAAAACTACATATTTTGTTTTAGTTTTTTATATAAAAATAAAATTTCTATAAATATATTATAGTTTTGATAATTTAAAAGATATTAGCCAAAAAAAGAGCTAAACTAAATTATTACTACAGATTCGCGCAAACTAAAAACCTAGTGAACAAAAAGAAACATGTATCTTAAATTCTCGATTAATTTATATTTTTACAAATTAATAAATCTGATCAAATTTTACTGAGGTTGTTACTAAATACTAGGTGGTTGGCCCGCACATATATGCAGGCATGAGAATTTTACTAAAAATTAATGAATAATAATATATATTATTTATAATTTTTAAAGTTGATTTTCATGTTCAATAGTATATTTGTAAAAAAATTTAGTGTGTAAAAAAATATTTTAATAGATTTGAGAAATTGTATATAGCGGAAAAAAAAATATATACAAAAATTAAATATTTTAAAAATATATCAAATAAAATAAAATAATTTTTTGTCATTCTTTGTTTTCTATTTTTTATTCATATTTTTATTGTTTTTATCTCGCTCTGTCACTTTTCGTCCCATTTCTAGTTTGTAATTCTCGGTATATACTTGGAATACAATCACATATAATATAAATCTTGTTCTTTATTTATAGTTAGACAAGATAAGATGATAATAAAAGTGAAGAAGTTCTCTTTCAAAAAATCTGATTCCGAAAATTTCACAAAAATACTTGAACTTGTAAATATTTCGTTAATAACTTACTTAAAATAATATTCCAAAAATTTCCATAAAAAACCCTATTTTGCAAATTTTCTAACAAAAACATGAAATAAGTAACTTTTGCTCCAAAAAACGATATCAAAAATATTTTATCAAAATTTCGTTGTTGTGAATTTCCCGCCAAAAAGCAAATACATAAAAAAATTCGCCAAAAATTTACATTAAAAATGTGATTCCATAAACTACAAATCAAAACTTTGATTTCATGAATTTATCGCCAAATAAGTGAAACCGTAAATCTTCCGCCAAAAACTTACTTAAAATATAATTTCAAATTTTTTTTTATGAAAACCCAATTTTAAAATTTTCGGCCAAAAACATGAATTTGTAATTTTTCCACCAAAACATTAATTTTAGAGTATTTAGTCTGATTTTGTGATTTTTTACTAAATATTGTGAATCCATGGGTTTTATGTCAAAAATGTGATATCAAAAAAAATTCGGCTAAATAGATTGCCACAAATATTTCGCTAGATACTTAAAATCCGTACATTTCTCTGACATAATTTTTGTGCCGAAATGTAATTTATTTGAGAAAAATATAATTTTCAGTACTTAAATTTTGTATCAAAATTTTAAGATCAAATTTTATTTATAGATTAAATAATATCTTGTCATAAACTATGTGTACTAAAAACTCGGACAATCGTTCCTCTCTCTAAAAACTCTCTCCCTTCTCTCTAGTTTCACCATCGCCGTTTGCTCTGCCTCTCTGGTTTCCGGCGTTTCTGTCAGAGCCGAGAGAGGGCCCATCTGTTCATTTCTTTACCCGTTTTATTTTCTCTTCATGGTTGGTTAGTTGTTTCAGGGTGGTTTTGGCGGTGGCTTTTGGTTCTCCGGCGAGGCAGTTTCGTGACGGCGGCGATTCGAAGCTGGAGGCTCTTTGCGGATCTAGATCTGATGAGGACAAGGTCAGGAGAAACTTCCTCAAGGGTATTCTACCGGAGATCTACGTATGATCCTCCATCTGTTTTTAGTGTTGGGTCGCCGGCGAAGCGGGGTGGCGACATTCGGAGTGGTGGCGTGTAGCGGCGAAGAGGTGTTTGAGTAGTATGAACTATCGGTGACTGATGAGTAAGCCTGCTGCTCTTGAGGACGGCGGTGGGAGCTCTCTGACGGCGTCAAACGTAATTTGGTCTTTTCTTCCACTGGCGTCTTCTTTTTGCAACCGGCTCGGCTACTTTTCTCCAAATCTTGTTCTCAAAATTTTTCGTAGGTTCTCTTTTCTCGCTGCGTCTTAATGAGGTATCTGGTGGCGTGATAGGCCTTTTCATCTACATCGGGTTCTCCTCCGGCATTCTTCAGCTCTTCTCCAGTCGATGGCTGTTTTTTGCTATGGTGACGTTGGATTTCTAGCTTTCTGGCGGAGGTGGCGGCGTGACTTTCTTCCTAGGATTTCTTAATTCCTTGTCTTCATCTTTTGGACCTTCTCTTCTCTAGCCCAGCTTCCAATCAGATCCATTAGGGATTATTTTTGGTTGGGGTTTGTCTTTTTTTTTTTCTTTCAAGTCTTTTCCCTTCTGAGCTTATTAGATTATTTTTTTTTGTCCTGTTCTGTAATTTATAAAATCAACAAAAACTCAACTTATTTGGTCATTAAAAAAATTTCAATATAAAAACCTTTTAATAAAAAAAAATATATATTAAAAATTGACATGTCATAATTATATTATTATTACTCATCATTATTTTTATATCACAATAAAATTGTTTAAACTAAATATATTACTCAATCAAATTAAAACAAATTAGTATTTTTTATTAAATTATATTCTCAATTAATATATATAGAAGATTATTAATTGTTGTAATTCATAACAATGATTTTGTTTTCTTAAGGATTTTTATATAATTTCCAAGAAAATAATGTAAACTGGATACTGAGACTCTCGTTCTCGTATTACGTACGTTTTGCTTGAAAGCAGTATTCTTGGATTGAATTTAGATTGTCTTTCATCGAGATGCGTTCGTTAGGGTTTGTGTTTTGTTGGATCTCGTTTCTAGCGTTATCACTCTCACTCTCTGCTTCTTCATCCGATGATCAATTCAGCGTCGACGGAACAGTACTAGAGCTCACCGATTCCAACTTCGACTCGGCGATTTCAACTTTCGATTGCATCTTTGTCGATTTCTATGCTCCTTGGTGTGGTCACTGCAAGCGTCTTAACCCCGAGGTTTTGAGATCTCTCTCTCACACAAACGTGCTTTTGTTCTCTTAGTACGATCTGGGTTATGTCTAAGATTGCTTAATATAACTTTTAATCTATCCAATTTCAGATTTGTAGATCGAATTTGTACCGTAATTGTGTAGCTTTTTTGTTCAATCTGAATCGGTTTTGATGGAAAATTTTGCTCCAATTTTCGATCCGATGCAGTTAGATGCAGCTGCTCCTATTCTTGCTAAACTGAAGCAGCCTATCATCATTGCGAAGCTCAATGCTGACAAATATTCTCGTCTTGCGCGGAAGCTTGAGATCGAGTATGTGTTCTTCTTAATTTGAGTTTAAGTCTGTTCTCTAGCTCTTGCAATCACTCTAGCAGAATTGCTAAACTCGGGAGTCTGAAAAGTTTCAAGCTTTAGGTTCCTCTTTAGGAATCTTGAGATCGAGTATGTGTTATTCAGTTTAAGTCTGTTCTCTAGCTCTGTAATCACTTAAGCGAATTGCTTTAAATCTGGAGAAATGAAAAAGTTTCAATCTTTAAGGTCTTTTTTTGTAGATCTATCGAATATGCATTCTCTTTTTTTCGATGTTCTACGTTTGGCTACTTCATTTTGCAGATTTGGTTTGTCATTGTTTTAGTTTTATTTGGTTGATATGCCTTTACTTTCTGCAGTGCATTCCCAACACTCATGCTCTATAACCATGGAGTTCCAATGGAGTACTATGGACCGAGGAAAGCGGATTTGCTCGTCCGTTACTTGAAAAAGTTTGTCGCTCCTGATGTTGCGGTTCTTGAGTCAGACTCAGCCGTGAAGGAGTTCGTTGAAGATGCAGGGACTTTCTTCCCCGTGTTCATCGGATTTGGCTTGAACGAATCGTTGATAGCATCATTAGGTGGGAAGTATAAGAAAAAAGCATGGTTTGCTGTTACAAAGGATGTCTCAGAGGATGTAATGGTGTCCTATGATTTCGCTAAGGCTCCTGCGTTAGTAGCCAAGCATCCAACGTACGATGAGCGTAGCGTCTTCTATGGTCCATTTGAAGGTCAGTGTTTAGTTCTTTTCAAGTGGGTTCTATAATCAAACCAAGTTCTAGGTTCTATCAAATTGAATCGCCAACAAAGACCCTAGATTCAAACATCAGATTGATATAGCATTCTGGTTCGTCTTATAGCTTTGAAACATTGTGTCTCACTGGTAGATATACAGCGGAATCACTTTTCAAAAAAGTGAAACCTACGTACCATTCAAATCTATTACCTATACAAGCGAAGCAGATATATAAACCAATTTATTATTGATGATTAGATTTATTGTTTGTACTTTTGCTTTCCATATATTTTATATATATGTGTTAAATAGTGCTGAGGACGTTCTAGAGTAAATAGATTAACAGATAACACTGTATTATTTCGTTTGCAGATGGTTTCTTGGAAGAATTTGTGAAACAAAACTTACTCCCTTTGGTTCTACCAATTAACCAGGACACCTTGAAGCTACTAAAAGACGATGAGAGAAAGATAGTGTTGACAATTGTGGAAGATGAAACTCACGAGAGCGTGGGGAAACTGATCAAAGCACTGAGAGCAGCTGCTCATGCGAACCGTGACCTTGTTTTTGGCTTCGTCGGTGTAGAGCAGTTTGAAGAATTTGCAGACTCGTTTCATGCTGACAAGAAAGCAAAGCTACCTAAGATCGTTGTATGGGATGGAGACGAGGAGTATGATCAGGTAAAAAAACTGGTTTATAGCGGTAGAATGATAAGTAGACTATCGCATCAAGATCTCTGTATTGACATACAATATGCAGGTGAATGGCATAGAGAGCATTAGCCAAGAGGAAGATCATCTGACACAAGTCTCTCGGTATCTAGAGGGATATAGAGAAGGAAGAACAGAGAAGAAGAGAATCAAAGGACCATCATTGATGGGATTTATCAACTCTATGATCGGGATTAGGTCAGTGTACATCATTGTCTTCTTGGTTGCTGTCATTATGATGCTACGAAGCCTCGGCCAAGTGGAGGAACCCGTTCGGGCCAGGACCTCGGCGGCTGATCAGACCACTAGTGTCACTGAAGGTGAAACCAGTGAGCATAAGCCAAGAGACAAAGAGGATTAGTTTTTTTTACACTTGAATGTTGGTATGTGTTTTTCTTTTACTTGGATGCGGTAATACATTTAAGAAATTGTCCCATCGAACATATTCCCCCCTGGATGCAGGAATAGCGACATGGACTTCTGACCATCTGTCAGAGAAAAAAGAACGAATGGCTCTTGTAGGATTCCCAAGAAATTCTTCGCTTTCTTCCGGAAGCAGATGACACCATTATCAATGGTGTCTAATAAGTTATACCTACTATTGGATTTGAACCAATGACTCCTGCCGTATGAAAGCAATACTCTAACCATGAAAAAACCTAAAATTCTGCCCTTCTATCCAAAGGATGGAGGGACACCAAAGGGATATTAAATGAATGGAATTGGGATATGGATGGAATATAATGAAATAGAGCCGCTTTGAGGTACTTCTTGGCGAGCTCTAATATGATCAGATTTATAAGTAAGCACAAGTATTAGTAGCATAGCAAAAATGGGTTCCTCATCATTAAGTCATTAAATTAATATGGCTCCTAGCCACAAGCTAACTTAAATAGTTTACAGCTTCTTTATTACAAGTCTTTCTTTAGATTTTTGCTATTGAATTAAGAATCCTTTTGGCTCTCTAATTGCCATATGCATTAGTTATTGGTTGCAAGATACTGATTGCGTATAAAGATCAAACAGTACATACACAAGTAACAAAGTTAACTCATTGTTTAGCTGATTCACAAAAATGTACCAAAAGATGCTCACTTAAAAAAACTCACTCATCTAACTTTACATAGTGTCCAAAACAATCCAACTGAAGAATAAGACTCAAACTGAAACATTCTGTTTTTACCTCTGTATATACAACTTAGTTGCAAAGCCATGTCAATTGGGTCTTTCAGAGTGATGTAGCATCTCTGGTTTAGTTTAGCGGCTTGGAAGCGAATTAGCAGAGACAAAAAAGCTAGGATCTGTGGCACATAGGAACTGTGTGTGCCTGCGGTACAATGGAACATGGGAGAGGCTCTTGTCTTGCAACTATTGGTAGCCTATGAAATGAAAGTGAAGTTGTAGAGTTCAGGCTAGGAGAAAGCAGAGGTGTCCTTTCAGATGCTGGTGGATCACTTTTCGCTGTTCTTGCATCGCGTTTACAAACCGGACAAAAGGATCTGCAATGACCAAGCCACGAACCGATACACGCCGCATGGAACTCTGCTAAGAATCAAACACTTTAGAACCGTATAGAAACAGAATCAATCATGAGTTTCAAAGAGAACAAAATAGACTTACTGTGTTGGCAAGGTAGGATCATGAGTTTGTCACCAGTGGAATAATCATCAATGCATATAGCACAAGTAACTGAAGTTGAACCTTGTTCAAGAACACCGGTAAACACTTCAGTCGGTATGCTTTGCAAAAAGTTTCTAGGCATACGAAGAGAATGTCCTCGACTACAATGGGATAAAGGCCCTCGTCGGCGTCTAATTTGATGCTTACGGACAAAGAAAAAAGTGGCGAGAATAGCAAACATTGCTAGTAAAGATATGATAGTGATAGCCATTATCGACCACGATGAAGTTCCGAATCCCGGGACCAGCCAAAGCTCGATCCCGGGTCGACCAGCGTACCCTTTGAGTACTTCCCCTGCTGCTCTTGTAACAAGCACGCCATGTATATGCACACCAGATGAAGTTCCTGCCACTATCATTTTTTTTTTTAAGATTATAAGAACGTCGAATTTATTTTACCCACGTATTGACGTATATATTAATTAAATTTATCTATAGACACAAAAAAGATACAAAAATGTTCATATAGCCATAAAAAAATTAGTCATGACTCTGTAGTTACGAAAAAAGCCGCAATTTTTTTTTTTGTGTGGCTATAGAACTTCATGACTAATTTTTTGTATAGCCATATTAATTTCCCGTAGCTTTTTTCATGGTTTGTTGGTTTATTCGAGTTAACCACGAAAACTTCGTAGTTATTTGGTAGCTACTAGTACAAATATATTTAAACTTAAATGGAAAATTGGACTTACTATGTATTAAGAGCTCATCATATGCATCGTTATACACAATCGCAGCTTTGTATCCAGCTTTCTGCGCGTTTCTAATTTTTTCGTCGAAACTACAGCCACCACGGATGATCAATACATACGAGGGCCTAATGGTTGATCCGTTTCCCGCCTTGTTGGTTAAATATGAGCATGTATTAAGAGGCTCTGCAGCGTATAACAATCCGCATTCCCCTGAACTTTCGACAATTGGAGCTGAAACCATTAGTCATTGCCGTAGTATTAGTCTTTATATCATTAGTAACATAGAGATGTAGCTTTTTTTAATCGAATGTAAAATTATTCAAAACCAAAAAAAAACTGTTTTTACAATGAATGTTTCTTTATTCTTAACTTCCTAGCCTATGACTGAATGAAACTATTAAAAGAATAATTTGAATATGATCTACGGGAGGTCGTGTGGAAGAGATATAAGGATTTGAATTTGGTTAACAATTTACAAGTTTTGTAGCTACTGAAATTGATATAAAAAAGAAATGTTTATATATACATATAGAGTAGAATAGTGGAATTGTCGAATGACCATACCGAAACAATCGAATAGTGTAATTGTCGAATAAATTAACAGTGAAACAATGAATTCTAATAGATTTTTTTCTAGATTAATATTAGATAATAGTTTTATCAAATTAATAATTACTATAGTTATATTTTTATCTTTCCATAATATGAAAGATGTTATGACTGAAAAACAATTAGCGAAATCTTGTTTTACAAACATATAAAAATGGTATATTATTGATCAACATAGTGGAGCGGATTGGAAAAAAATCATTTTTTTTTCAAGTGTACAGAATTTTACTAAAGTGAATCGTATTTTCTCTCTATTTGCTTCAAAAATGGAGCAGTCTATAACTTAGTGTACAATTCGAACGAAAAATATATATATATTAACCATGTATCTTTCCAGTGATCCAAACAACAACAAAAAAGCTGTGAGTCAAATATGAAACAATAATTAAGAATATATAACTGAGAAAACTTACTGAAAGTTGCTTCAACATCATCGAAGGAGAGATATGTGTTTTTCCCGATCAACAAGACTTTCGCCGAAGCAAGCTGAGAACTTACCAACAAAGACATTATTGTAATCCAACTACGGTTCATGCTTTCCTTCAGATTTAATCGAATCAAAGCACGTACGAGTACGACGAATAATTTACCCACTAAAACAGTATTATACAAAACCAAAAAAGGATAGATTTGATCGTGAGAAACTGATAAAGATTTAGATATCTAAGGTAAGAGATGGACCGGCTTCCATTGGCAGAGAAAAGTGTAAAGAATATATTAGAAATGTTCCTTATCTCTTACTTTGATTTGATTTAAAAAGACATGTTGTGAAACGCAAGGTGCTATAATAACCAACACAACAATAACACAAGTGTCTCTACATGGTTTGACACATTAGATTTTTCAAACTTTCTAAAGTTGACAACTCAGCAAAAAAAACACCAATCAAAACATTTTATTAATATACATCATCTACTAACTTTTATTATTTATAACTTAAACCTATTAAAAACTTAAATATTTTTTTTTGTTAATCTTTGTTTTTTTTTTCCAAACTTAGGCTCAAATAATAAATTGTCAAATTACAATTTTCCACGGAAACTAAAAAATCACATTTTTCCGCAAAAATGAAGAGATCACATTATCCATCAAAAGCCGAAAATTTGCATTTCCTATTAAAATTGAGAAATCGTATTTTTTCGTCAAAACTAAGATATTTTTTTCGTGTCAAAATCTTAAAAAAATTCTCACCAAAACCAAAAATTCAAATTTTTCCGTCAAACCTGATAATTTGCTTTTTTCCACCCTAACCGAGAAATTATGTTTTTCTACCAAAACTGAAAATTATATTTTCCTACCGAAACTAAGAAATTCTCTATTCCTGCCAAACCCAAGATAATTTATTCCCGGTAACCACCAGAAATGCGAATCTCCAAGCTGTGGTGGTCTGAGCTTCTCCTCATTTACTTTCAACTTTCATTTTTTTGTAAACTTTGAGCTTTTTAATGGGTCAGCAAAATAGTAAACTGATTTTATCAGTGTGTTAATGATATGTATTATTGCTATGATTTTATTGGTTCAAATTTTTGCTGATGTGTGAGCTTCTTATAACATAACGTTTTTTGCGTTGTTATTATGGAAGCATAGTTGATGATGAGTCCACTTTCTTCAATCATATACGTCTCTATCAAGCAAACACATAGTTAGAAATTTTAATTTTTTTTTTTGCTGTTATTTATTATTTGAATTTCGGTTTGGCAAAAATATAAAACAAAGATTTAATTATTCTATTTGTTGTTATTTATTATTTATATTTGGGGATGGTAAAAAATAAAACATTTTTTTTTGCTGTTATTTATTTGGGGATGACAAAACATAATTTCTCGGTTAGGGCGGAAAAAAGCGAATTATCAGGTTTGGCGGAAAAATGTGTATCTTTGGTTTTTGTGAGATTTTTTTTTTGATTTTGAAACGAAAAAAAATATCTTATTTTTGACGAGAAAATGCGAGGGAAATACAACTTTCAATTTTGACGAAAAATACGATTTCTCAGTTTTGATAGGAAATGCAAATTTTCAGCTTTTGATGGATAATTTGATCTCTTGATTTTCGCGGAAAAATGTGATTTTTTAGTTTTCTTGGAAAATTGTAATTTGACAATTTATTATTTGGGTCTGGATTTGGAAAAAAAAACAAAGATTAACAAAAAAATATTTAGGTTTTTAATGGGTTTAAATAATAAAAGTTAGTAGATGATGTGTATTAATAAAATGTTTTGATTGATGTTTTTTTTGTTGAGGTGTTAACTTTAGAAAGTTTGAAAATGCTGATGTGTCAAATTATGGAGAGACACTTGTGTTATTGTTATTACTAAGTATTTACCCGGGCTACGCTGCAGGATATTTTTTTTATATTTGTATAATAAAATTATTTCTATAATGTAAATGAGTATTATATTAATTTTTTATTAGCTTAAGTTATTTATTTATATGTGTTAAATCTGAATAAACATTATATATCATTAGTTTTTTTGTTTTTTATATAATAATCTACTATCAAATTTATTTAGCTAACTATCTATAAATGTATTTGTAAGAATAAAACAATACATTTTTAAGTATCTTCATGCTAATGGTAAATATAATTTATTTTCTTTACTAAATTGCTACTTGATCCTCCTTTGAAATTATATAAAGCAAATTGCCATGTAAAAAAATATTAATTAATATGATAATTTTAAATTATAAAATTTATTTATTTATCAAATATTTATTATAAACATATGTTTCTAAAACTACCAAACTATAATCAATAACATTCATATCAAAATTATTACTATTACTTTATAACTAAATAGAAAGTTCTGTGTGAACTGTTGAAATATCAATTTAGTTGAAGTTAAATAATTCAATTTTGGTTAATATAAACATATTGTAGCTTGAAAATTTAGTATAGAGAAATTTTATCTTTTTACAAAAACCGAAAAATTGTATTTTCCGACAAAACAAAAAAAAATTTATTTTCCCACGAAACTGAAAAATCGCATATTCACGCCAAAACTAAAAAATTTCATTTTCTTCAAAAACCAAAAAATTACATTTTCCCACAAGAACCTGTGTTTTCCCTTCAAAACAGAGAAATCAATTTTTTTCACCAAAACCAAAAAAATTTCATCTTTCTGCAAAAACCAAATAAATAATATTTTCCCGTCAAAACCAAAAAATTATTTTTCCACAAAAATTGAAAAATCGTCTATTCGCACCAAAACAAGAAAAAATTATTTTTCTCATCAAATCAAGAATCACGCCTTCCTACCAAAACCGATAAACTACAATTTTCTGCGAAAACCAAAAATTGCATTATCTCATGAGAAATTGCGTTTCCCGCAAAAACTAAGATATCATATTTTCCCTCGAAAACCAAAAATTCAAATTATATGTCAAAAACTGAAAATTTGCATTTCCCATCAAAACCAAGAAATTATTTATTCCCGCCAAAATCGAGAAATTTTGTTTTTCTATCAATCCAAAACCTTGTATTTTCTGCCAAAATTGTCAAATTACAATTTTCCGCAAAAATCAAGAAATTACATTATCCATCAAAAGCCGAAAATTTTCATTTTTTATCAAAACCGAGAAATCGTATTTTTTGTCAAAATTGAAAAGTTGCATTTCCCTCGCATTTTCTCGTCAAAATCAGGAAAAAAAAATTCTCACAAAAACCAAAAATTCACATTTTTCCGCCAAACCCGATAATTCACTTTTTTCCGCCATAACCGAGAAATTATGTTTTCCTACCAAAACCAAGAATTTCTCTATTCCCGCTAAACCCAAGAAAATTTGTTTTCGGTAACCAGTGGAAATGCGAATCTCCATGCTGTGGTGGTATGAGTTTCTCCTCATTTGCTTTCGACTTCCATTTTTTTGTAAACTTTGGGCTTATTAATGGATCAGCAAAATAGTAAACTGATTTTTATAAGTGTGTTAATAATATGTATTATTGTAATAATATGTATTATTGTTATGTTTTTATTGGTTCAAATTTTTGCTGATGTGTGAGCTTCTTATAATATAACGCTTTTTGCATTGTTGTTATGTGAAGCATAGTTGATGATGAGTCTACACTTTCTTCAATCATATACATCTTTTTCAAGCAAACACATAGTTATAAATTTTAATTTTTTTTGTTGTTATTTATTATTTGAGTTTCGGTTTGGCAAAAATATAAAACAAAGATTTAATTTTATTATTTGTTGTTATTTATTATTTGGGTTTGGCAAAAAAATAAAACAATTTTTTTTTATTTTTTTTATTTATTATTTGGGCTTGGGCTTGGGCTTGGCCAAAAAATAAAACTAAAATTAATAATAAAAAATATTTGGGATTTTAATGGATTTAAATTTAAATGTTAAAATAAATTGATGACTTGTGTTAATGAAATGTTTTTATTGGTGTTTTTTTTACTGAAGTGTCATCTCCTAAAAACTTGAAAATGCTGATGTGTCAAGCTATGGAGAGACACTTGTGTTATTGTTGTGTTGATTTTAATTTTTTTTTGCTGTTATTTATTATTTGAATTTCTAATTATTTTATTTCTTGTTATTTATTATTTATATTTGGGGATGGTTAAAAATAAAACAATTTTCTTTTTTTGCTGTTATTTATTTGGGGATCAGGCTCACATAAATTCACAATTCCTTTCAACATGATTTCGATTTTTTGGGGTTTAATTTTCAGATCTGGGCAGATCTAGATGGGTTTTCCTAGATCTTTTGGCTAGATATGTCTCTTCTGATGGCTTGCTCTGTGTGCTTGCTGGCGTGTCTTCCCTTTGCTTCTTTGGAGTCTGGTTTGGGTTCTCTCCGGTTCGAGCTTGCATCGATCCTTAGTGTTTGGTGTTATCAGGGGTGAACCATTCGCTCCTTTGCGCTTCCTTATTGATCTATTCAAGATTTCTTCTCAAGTTTCTATCTAGGTGTGTTTTAGTCGTGCCTTTTGGATGGTCTTTCGACTCCACCGTTCCCAGGAGACCTCTAGTTTCTGTTTTGCCGAGTATGAAGCTTTGATTTTCTAGAATCAAAAGGTAGGCTTTGTGGAAAAATTTGTTTATTGTTGGTAAAGTCGAAAACCTGTTCGGTAATTCTTGTGTTCTCCTGAAGTATGGTAGGCTTGTTGGTTGGTTTGTGTTGTATTTTAAGTACTGGGTTAACCTTCTCTAAATCTTTTTTTTTGTGTTTTGGTTTTAGATATCTATTAGTTATAGTATTTCCAGTGTTTAATCTTCAGCATAAATTTATGTATTTCACAGTTGTAAGAATAGGACTTAAGTTGTAAATTGGAAATGTTTTATATAAGAAAATCAATTCTTTATTACTTGGTAGAATAATAATATCTTGCGTTTAAAAAAATACCTGGCGTTTCTCAAACATGTAATCTTTAATTAACTTTAATCCAAAACTTATTAGATTTTTACTAGGGTCAACTCCACGCAGACCACAAGCGGACATTTTCGCTTTAAACACTAAATGAAAAGTTTATAAAGTAACCACTAATCAGAATCTCAATCATATAATATGTTTTTAGTCACATGTTTGTAACCTCCCAAAGAGTATTGCAATAAACTCCTCGTGTATGTCATCGAATTCATCATAAAGTTTTCAAAATAAATCACAGACCTACCTAATAACGCATCCTTAATATATATTATATACTAGGTGGTTGTCGCCAGGATTTAATTTTTAATAAAAAAACTAATTATAATATTTAAACGTAAATAGATGATTGATCCATATAAATG